AATCATTTCCTTAGATTCGATTCATGTATCCCTATTCACATACATGCATGCAAACAATGGAGCAATTAATAGGCATATATAACACAACAAGAAGTCGACCCATCACTTACCTCGAAACCAAGCCTGAATACTCCTAAGACAATTGAGCCTTCCCTTTCCGGAGTCTTGCAGCTTGTTCTTGGTCTAAAACAATTAATTAATGCAAGGATCAATAAACAAGGCCTAATTTACTCGGATTATAACAAAATATCAACCCAAGGCCAAACCCATGATCCTAATACTAAACTAGGGATTTTCCCATCATCAACTTCGGGCCAAAACCCTTCCCTAACGGTAACTAACAAGGGTTCTAAGTTCTAAGAATTGAAATACGGCTTAGGGGAGTAATTAACTTACCTTTGGTGCAAGAATTTGTGGAAATTTGATGAGAAACTGCCCTAGGTCATCCCTTAGCTCTTAAGAACGAGGTTTTGAAGAAAGTAACATTTTTGGGGTTTTTCCCCGATTTAAGTCATGACTGGCTCGCCACAGCGGGCTCTATCCTGCCACATTGGCTCCGCCCTGGCAGAATTAACCCCACCCCGGCCGCTCACACGGAGACAGAAGATCAGAATTTGAGTTCCAAGCTCCTATTTCGCAACACACCTTCAAACCTTGATGTTCTAAAACTACCCCTTCACACCAAGATCAGTTTTGGGAGTTCTACTTGCCCGAGTTTGATTCCGTAAAGTCGTACAAACTCCTTAACGTCTTGGCTATCTACTCATGTGATCAAACTCATAATTAAATCCCCCATACATTACCAGATTGCTCTAGACCTCACCTGACTCAGATTTCATCCAAGTCTTGCCTAGGTGAGAAATTTCCAAGTTACTACTCAGAAGTTTTCTAGCCTAAATTTCTTCCCCATTGGGTTTTCCCTAACGGCGGGAACATGTAATTACACCCATAAACAAACTCATCACCAATATTACATCATCACCATCAAAAGATATAAACCCACCACCAAATATCACTACCACCATTGTCAATATCAATTTTTTCTTCTCCACCACCTTCAATTCCCGCTTCTTTGTCACCACACGCCAACAAATCCAACATGATATTTTCTTTTTTAAACTTAATCATCAATTTTATCAACCACCAACAAAGCCGAAGAGAAAAATCAAATATAACGAAAATGGTGAAATTGAATAATCATTAAAATATGATATGATGGGGGGTGCGGGGAGAGGATTTTGGTGGAGGTATAGTGGGGTGGATGGAAGTTGGGTATGAAAAAATGATGAAAAAAATAAAGAAGAAGAATAAGAAGAAGATGGCTGCCTGTGAAGAAGAAAAAGAGGTGTGGGGTGGGGGGATGGAGGGTGGGGGTAGGGTAATAGTACAAAGAAAATTTTAATTTTTTTTTTTTACTGTCAAACGCGCTTTTTTTTTTTTTTTTTTTTTTTTTCCACGTCTTTTTTAAGGGGTAAAAAAATTTTTTTTTAAAAAAAAATTTTTTTACCCCTTAAAAAAGACGTGGAAAAAAAAAAAAATTTTTTTACCCCTTAAAAAAGACGTGGAAAAAAAAAAAAAAAGCGCTTTTGACAGTAAAAAAAAAAAAAAAGCGCTTTTGACAGTAAAAAAAAAAAAAAACCGGGTTTCAAGGAAAAAAAAAAAAATTTTTTTTTAAAAAAAAATTTTTTTTTTTTTCCTTGAAACCCGGTTTTTTTTTTTTTTTCCACGTCTTTTTTAAGGGGTAAAAAAATTCGTTTTTAAACAGTAAAGGTGTGTAATAGGTCGTCATGATAATTTAAGCGTGTAACTGACTTTTCAAGACAAGTTCAAGGTTGAATTTATGTTTTTACCCTAAATTAAAATGACAAGTAAAGAATAAATAATGAATCTTACGAATTGCTTCAGATCAAAGTTTTTTTGTTGCTAATAATTTACAGTGTCATTAGCAAGCAATGTCAATGATTGAGAATTAATAACAATAGAAATAATTAGCAAATAACTACGAAGATTTATAATATTATAACAAATAAATTGAAGTGCACTAAATGACTAAATGAAAGTCCAACCCTTTGCCTTTTCATTTATTGTTGTACTCCCACGTTCATTTACTTCATTTTTTTTCTTTTGTGAATTGTATTTAAAAAGCTGTATATTTAAATTGTACTATTTACTATTTAATTATATTTTTTTAGTGATACTTTAATTGAAAGGTTTATCACTTTAAAAAGTGTTTGTCGTTACCAAAAAAAAGTTGATCAATTATTTCTTCTAACCAACTTCGAATTGATTTTATTTATGTTTAATTTACTTTACATGGTGAAACAAAGATTATGTGACAAAATATTATTCTAGATATCACTTTAATATCATCACCTGAGTCTTGGATATGAAATTCACCCTAACATGCCAACAACAATATGGTTTTATTCGAAGTCTCCTTTGTATAACAATAGCATATTCAATTAATTCCTCGATTATCTACTTATATCAATTATAATAGACAAGACAATTAATATAACTATATTTGATAAAAATTGTGTGGAGTTATAAAATAGAACAAAACTATTCATCCTCTGCTTCATAATGTGAAAGTTATTAGAATTACTAATTAATACCTCTTTAGTTTATGATAAGCATGTAAAAATCATATTTAGTTAAATATTTTGTCATCCAAAAAAAATGATAAGCATGTATAAATCATATTTATTTCTAATTAAATATTTAGTCATCCAAAAAAAAGATATTCTTTTTATTTTTCACATATATTAAATTTAATATTGTTCATATATTACATTCACAAAATAAAGGTGAATTTAATTAAAATAATGAGATCTAAATTAATATATATATATATATATATATATATATATATATATTAGTGTCAAGAGAATTTTTTTACATATTTAATGATAAATGAATGTAAATAGCTTTGATAAAAATTGACCAAATATAAAAGAACAAATATATAATATAATCTACAAACAAAGCATAATGTATGTGTGCATCTGGAGATCTTGTTTCATTCAACATCTCTTCAACCTTGAAAAATGGCAATAGTTAATGACTACAAGACAAATATCAAATGATATAAGAAGCAAAAGAGAAATAATATCGAAATTAAACAATCAAGAGATACAATAATGATATGTGACTAATTTTTAGAAAATCTCTTATCGCCAAGTTGTTGAGGTGTGTGTATATATATATATTATCAACAATTAGAGTCATGGGGTTCTTCATTATTCCTCACACCTTAATAATCAAGCTGATGACAGTTTGTTCATATCATTAGCAACGCCATGGTTCATTATCTTAACGAAACAAGCAAAATCAAAAAAATAATTAAGACTATTTCATGACAAAGTTTATAGGAAAGTAGAAGAACAGAAGTGTATTCATAAGTTTGGGAATATATCTTAAAGTTATATAGAAATTCAAAAGTCATGCTGAAAAAAAAGGCATACAAATAACTCTTGGGTTCTTCACGCTGAATGCAGTTGCATTTAATTTGTAATTACTGCTAGGAAGCCGAATCACGTAATTCTAATGCCAAGGAAAGTATATACAAGTTACTTTACTTCTTTTGGATAATTCATTATACAATATAATTAATGATTATTTAATTTTCATGCTAATAAATAACTTATAATCTTAGAAAAAAATGAAATAGTATTACTTAATATTTAATTAAATATTAAAACTGTTTAATTAACAACAAGGGCAAAATTGTAATCTAACTTTAAAGACAAAACCTTCCCACTTATAATAATATATGATAGATAGATAATTAAATAGATTTAGATAGATAGATAGATTAGTAAAAATAATAATTAAATGATATAGATGATACTAAATCTTGTAAGTAATATTGAGTAACTAAATTTTGAAAGAGAAGTATAATTGTTTGTAGTTAGTTATACATAATGAATTGAATAGTTTATATTGATTATATTTTCTTTTATATATTTCAACAACAAATAGTTTATATGTGAAATAAGTAACGTTGATTTTGTTTATAAGTGTTTCACACATCTTAATGTTTGTATCTTGTGTAAGAAACTCTAGCCTACTTTTTTTAGCCATATATATATCAAGAAGTTGTTGTAGAATAGAAGTCGTATTTCATGATGCACAAATATTGATCAACATATCTTTCTTTAAGGTGGATAATGTATCATTGCCAATTTCATGGGATACACTTGAAAAAATAGTATTTATTTGTGATAGAGATAGTTAATAATAAGTGGCATTAGAAATTTTAATTGATATGTGAAAATCCTAGTTGAACGTAGTAAAATTCTAGTGTTTAATTTATCATAACTCGATCAAGACTTACAGGATGGGCAACTATGCACAGCAATGTGAAAAACTTAAAGGCTCAACTTTATAGTATAGTGTTAGCTAGAAGCATGTACTATGTATGGAACGATATTTCAAAGTTATTTGATTAAAATGACAGTTCGATACATAAAGCATCTTATATTAATGGTAAAATTAGAGAAGGGTCTTATTCTAAAGGATTATTTGATAGGGTGTGCAGAAATAATATAAAAACATGAAGATTTTGTTAGGGGTGGTGGTGGAAGAGCATAGGAAACTATGTAGGATTATATTGAATAACCAAGGCAAGTCTTCATACAACTCAATATTCTTGATCTCGACAATATTGATCCCTCACAAATTTTGACAGCACAAGCTAACAACACATGGGAAAAAATGTAATGTTAGATGTAATATTTTTTACAGGATTCTAAAGAAGAGGTAGATTCTTTGTAAGACTTCAAAGATTAGAATAGAAACTCCTATGCAGAAAATAATAGCAAACCACAAGTGCCACACCGAAATCACAAATACAACTACATGGTGATATTCTCCTGCTCCTTCTTCTCCTCCTTCTGCTCCATATCCTCATTGAGGTTGTGCATTAATATCCACATGAGGATCTAGAACTGCGGGAATTCCTCCTCATCTTCCATTCACTTCATCTTGTATAATTTCTCTTACATGAGGATTTGGAACAGTCCTCCACCCTTGGGTAATTCTCCTTCACGTGACCTTTCAATAGTTGTAATATCCACTGCATATACTTCTATATGAAGAGTAGTTGATTCTCCTTCTCTTATGGATAGTTCTTCTAAAGGTGGCCTTTGAATAACAACACCTTTTAACAATGGTTCTTCTTGATCATTTGGAGCAGCTGATGCTCCTTCTCTATGGGGTAACTCTTCTACAGACAGTTCTTTAGCAATTACCAGCTAATCTAATGTTGGTCCTTGAGAAGGATGTGGAGTAGCTGATTCACCTTCTCCTGTGGATAGTTCTTCTAAATATGACCTTTGAATAACAACACCTTTTAACAGTGGTTCTTCTTCATCATTAGGAGCAGCTAATGCTCTTTCTCCTTGGGGTAACTCTTCAGCAAACAATTCTTTAGCAATTTCCACATCATCTAATGTTGGTACTTGAGAAGGATCTGGAGTAGCTGATTCTCCTTCTCCTGTGGATAGTTCTTCTAAAGGTGGCCGGTGAATAACAACACCTTTTAATAGTGGTTTTCTTAATGATTTGGAGCAGCTGATGCTCCTTCTCCTTGGGGTAACTCTTCCGCAGACAGTTATTTAGCAATTACCAGCTCAACTAATGTTGGTCCTTGAGAAGGATGTGGAGTAGCTAATTCTCCTTTTCCTGTGGATGGTTCTTCTAAATGTGTTGCCTATGAATAACAACACCTTTTAACATTGGTTCTTCTTGATCATTTGGAGAAGCTGATGCTCCTTCTCCTAGGGGTAACTCTTCTACATGCAATTCTTTAACAATTAGCACCTCATCTAATGTTGGTCCTTTAGTAAATACCAACTCATTCTAATGTTGGTCCTTAAGCAGGATGTGGAGTAGTTGATTCTCCTTCTCCTGTGGATAGTTCTTCGAAAGGTGGCCTTTGAATAACAAAACCTTTTAACAATGGTTCTTTTTTAACATTTGGAGGAGCTGATGTTTATTTTCCTTGGGGTAACTCTTCTGTAGGCAATTCTTTAGCAATTACCACCTCATCTAATGTTGGTTCTTGAAAAGGGTGTGGAATAGATGATCCTCCTTCTCTCGTGGATAGTTCTGCTAAAGGCGGCCTTTGAATAACAACACCTTTTAATAGTGGTTCTTTTTTATCATTTGAAGCAGCTGATGCTTCTTCTCCTTGGGGTAACTCTTCTATAAGAAGTTCTTTAGTAAATACCAACTCATTTGATGTTAGTCATTAAGAAGGATATGGAGTAGCTGATTCTCCTTCTCCTATGGATAGTTCTTCTAAAGGTGGACTCTGAATAACAATACTTTTTAATGGAGGTTCTGCTTGATCATTTGGAGCAGCTGATGCTCATTCTCCTTGGGGTAACTCTTCTATAGGCATTTCATTAGAAATTACGACCTCATTTATTGTTGGTCCTTGAGAAGGATGTGGAACAACTCATTCTCCTTCTCATGTGGATAATTCTTCTAAAGGTGGCCTTTGAATAACAACAACTTTTAAAGTGGTTCTTATTGATGATTTGGAGCAGCTGATGATCCTTATCCTTATGGTAATTCTTCTATTTTTAGTTTTTTAGCAATTATCAGTTCATATAATGTTGGTCCTTGTGAAGGATGTGGAGTAGTTGATTCTCCTTCTCCTGTGGATAGTTCTTCTTCTCTAAAGGTGGCCTATGCATAACATCACCTTTTAACAGTTGTTCTAGTTATGATTTGGAGCAGCTGATACACCTTCTCCTTGGAGTAACTCTTCTGCTAACAGTTCTTTAGCAATTACCAGCTCATCTAATGTTGGTCCTTAAGAAAGATGTGGAGTAGCTGATTCTCCTTCTCCTGTGGATATTTTCTTTAAAGGTGGCCTTTGAATAACAACACATTTTAATAGTGGCTTCTCTTTTATCATTTGGAGTAGCTAATGCTCCTTATCTCTGCAGTAACTCTTCTACATGCAGTTCTTAAGAAATTACCACTTCATCTAATGTTGGTCTTGAGAAAGATGTGGAGTAGTTAATTCTCTTTCTCCTTAGGATAACTTTTCTGTAGGTTGTTCTCTAGATATTACCACCTCATTTAATATTAGTCCTTGAGAAGGATATTGAGTAGCTGATTCTCCTTCTTCTGTGGATAGTTCTTCTAAAGGTGGCCTTTGAATAACAAAACCTTTTAACAGTGGCTCTTCTTGATCATTTGGAGCAGATGATGCTCCTTCTCCTTGGGGTAGCTCTTCTGCAGGGAGTTCATTTGCAATTACAACCTCATCTAATATTGGTCCTTGAAAAGGATGTGGAGCAGATGATTTTCCTTCTCTTGTGGATAGTTCTTCTAAAGGTGGCCTTTGAATAAAAACACCTTTTAATAGTTGTTCTTCTTGATCATTTGGAGCAGCTGATGCTCTTTCTCTTTGGGGTATCTATTCTACATGAAACTCTTTAGTAATTACTGGCTCATCTAATTTTGGTCCTTGAGAATGATGTGGAGTAGATAATTCTACTTCTCCTGTGGATAGTTCTTCTAAAGGCAGCCTTTGAATAACAATAAGTTTTAACAGTGGTTCTTCTTGATCATTTGGAGCATTTGATGCTCCTTCTCCTATGGGTTACTCTTCTGTTGGCAATTTTTTAGCAATTACCAGCTCATCTAAGGTTTTTACTTGAGAATGATATAGAGTAGCATATTCTCTTTCTCCTGTGGATAGTTCTTCTAAAGGTGGCCTTTGAATAATGACACCTTTTAAAAGTGGTTCTTCTTGATCATTTGGACATGATGATGCTCGTTTTCCTTGGGGTAACTCTTCTGCAAGCAGTTCTTTAGCAATTACCATATTATCTAATATTGGTCCTTGAGAAGGATGTGGAGTAGTTGATTCTCCTTCTCATGTGGATTGTTATTCTACAGGTGGCCTTTGAATAACAACACCTTTTAATAGTGGTTCTTCGTGATCATTTTGGGCAGTTGTTGCTCCTTCTCTTTGGGGTAATCTTCTGCAGGCAGTTCCTTTTGCAATTACCACCTCATCTAATGCAGGTCCTTGAAAAGGATGTGGAGTAGTTGATTCTCCTTTTCCTGTGGATAGTTCTTTTAAAGGTGGCCTTTGAATAAAAATACATGTTAATTGTGGTTCTTCGGTATGATTTGGAAGTAGCTATCGCTCCTTCTCCTTGACGTATTTCTTCTGCAGGTAATTCTTTAGCAATTACCAGCTCATCTAATATTTGTCCTTGAGAAGGATATGGAGAAGATGATTCTCCTTTTCCTGTGGATAGTTCTTCTAAAGGTGGCCTTTAATTAACAACACCTTTTAACAATGGTTCTTCTTGACTATTTGGAGCAGCTGATGCTCCTTATCCTTAGGTAATTCTTATGCAGGCAATTCTTTAGCAATTACCACCTCATCTAATAATGGTCTTTAAGAAGGATGTGGAGTAGTTGATTCTCCTTCTCCTGTGGATTGTTTTTTTAAGGGTGGCCTTTGAATAACAACACTTTTTATCAGTGGTTTTTCTTGATGATTTGGAGCATCTAATGCTCCTTCTCCTTGGCGTAACTCTTTTGCAGATAGTTCTTTAGCAATTGCCAACTCATCTAATGTTGGTCCTTGAGAAGGATATGGAGTAGATGATTTTATTTCTATTGTGGATAGTTCTAGAGGTGGCCTTTGACTAACAATACCTTTTAATAGTGGTTCTTCTTGATTATTTGGAGCATCTGATGCTCAATTTCCTTGGGGTAACTCTTCTGGATGAAGTTCTTTAGCAATTACCACCTCATCTAATATTGGTCCTTTAGAATGATGTGGAGTAAATGATTCTCCTTTTATTGTGGATAGTTATTCTAAAGGTGGCCGTTGAATAATAACACTTTTTAGTGGTTCTTCTTGATCAATTGGAGCAGTTGACTCTCCTTCTCCTTGGGGCAACTCTTCTGCAAGGAGTTCTTAAGCAGTTACCAGCTCATCTAATGTTTGTCCTTGAGAATGATCTAGATTTACTGATTCTTATTCTCCTGTGGATAGTTGTTCTAAAGGTAGCCTTTGAATAACAACACCTTTTAATAGTGGTTATTCTTCATAATTTGGAGTAGCTGATTCTTCTTTCTCTTGGGGCAACTCTTCTACAAACAATTTTTTACTAATTACCCGTTCTTCTAATGTTGGTCCTTGAGAAGGATGTGGAATAGCTGATTCTCCTTTTCCAGTGGATAGTTCTTCTAATGCAATGTATCTTGTTTATTATTTGGAGCAGCTTATACCCCTTCTCCTTGGGGTAACTCTTCTGCAGGCAGTTCTTTAGCAATTACCAGCTAATATAATGTTAGCCCTTGAGAAGGATGTGGAGTAGCTGATTCTCCTTATCATGTGGATAGTTCTTCTAAAGGTGGCCTTTGAATAACAATACCTTTTAACAGTGGTTCTTCTTGATCATTTGGAGCAGTTGATGCCCTTTCTCCTTGGGCTAACTCTTCTTCAGGCAGTTTGTAAGCAATTACTACCTTATCTATTGTTGTTGCTTAAGAAGGATGTGGAGTAGCTGATTCTCCTTATCTTGTGGATAATTCTTTTAAAGGTGGCCTTTGAATAACAACCCATATTAACAATATATCTTCTTGATGATTTGGAGCAGCTGATGCTCTTTCTTATTGGGATAACTCTTCTACAGGCAGTTCTTAGCTATTTGTCCTTGGGAAGGATGTGGAGTAGCTGATTCTCATTTTCCTATGGATAGTTCTTCTAAAGGTGGCATTTGAATAACAACACGTTTTATCCGTGGTTCTTCTTGATCATTTGGAGCAGCTGATGCTCGTTCTCCTTGGGGTACCTCTTCTGCTGCAGGCATATCTTTAGCAAATACCACCTCATCTAATGTTTGTCCTTGAAAAGCATGTGGAGTAGCTGATTCTCCTTCTCCTGTGGATAGTTTTTCTATAGGTGGCCTTTGAATAACAACACTTTTTAACAATAGTTCTTCTTGATGATTTGGACCAACTGATGCTCCTTTTCCTTGGGGTAACTCTTCAGCAGACACTTCTTTAGCAATTACCGGCTCATCTAATGTTGGTCCTTGAGAAGGATGTGGAGTGGTTGAACCTCATTCTCCTTTGGATAGTTCTTTTAAAGGTGACCTTTGAATAGCAATACCTTTTAACAGTGGTTCTTCTCGATGATTTGGAGCAGCTGATGCTCCTTCTCCTTGGGGTAAGTCTTCTCCAGGTAGTTCATTAGTAATTACTAGCTCATTTAGCTAGCATTTGTCCATAGATTTCCAAATATTATTTGGTTGAAAATTTGTGTGAAATTTCACCATGTGTTTGGCCATAGTATTTGGGAAATATATTTCACATTTTTGGAAAAAATATGATTTAACCCATAAGTTTTAAAAACTATCAAAACTAACCATAAGTTTGTCTTACAAGTCAATTGGATCTTCGTTGCAACAAATAACAAGTAGTGTCCATGACACTAGAGCAATGTGGTAGTTTGGAGTGAGTTCAACAAGCATCATTCCATACATCGTGAAGTAGACAAAGCACATGAATTTTTTACCCTAGGCCGAATGTTCATCATTTTCATCATCACTGAATATTCACTGAATATTTCATCACTACTTTGGTGTTCACGTAAAAAATTATGTAATACAACGCAAACAACTACTATAGAGGGTTTTTTGTAAAAGATAAAAAGTTTTGGTGTAAAAATTTCAAAAGATCCCAAATAATGAGATTTCGCCCAAATACTAGAAAAAACTAGTACGGACGCTCTTGGTTGAAAGTTCCATCAGTTGGAATACTGGATAGAACCTTCATTGCCCACTTGTGGACAGGAAACAATAATCTTTGGGAATTTGGGATATTTGCCAAAAATATTTGCCAAATAATGAAAAATCGTTTGGACAAACACTATTTCCCAAAGTTTTTCCCAAATATTATTTGGGAAATCTATGGCCAAACGGGCCCTTAAAGTTGGTCCTTGAGAATGATGCGAGGTAGCTAATTCTCATTATCCTATGGATAGTTCTTCTTAAGGTGGCCTTTGACTAACAACACATTTTAACAATGGTTTTTCTTGATCATTTTGAGCAGCTGATGCTCTTTCTCCTTGGGGTAACTCTTCTGTATGCAGTTCTTTTGGAATTACCAGCTCATCTAATGTTGGTCTTTTAGAATGATGTGGAATAGCTGATTCTTCTTCTCTTGTGAATAGTTCTTCTAAAGGTGGCCTTTGAATAACATACCTTCTAAAAGTGGTTCTTCTTGACGATTTGGAGCAGATGATGCTCCTTCTCCTTGGGGTAACCCTTCTGCAAGAAGTTCTTTAGCAATTACCACCTCATCTAATATTGGTCATTTAGAATGATGTAGAGTAGCTGATTCTCCTTTTCCTGTGGAAGTTCTTCTAAATGTGGCGTTTGAATAACAAAACCTTTTAATAGTGGTTCTTCTTGATCACTTGGAGCAGTTGATGCTCCTTCTCTTTGGGGCAACTCTTCTGCAAGGAGTTCTTTAGCAGTTACCAGCTATATAATGTTTCTCCTTGAGAATCATGTGGAGTTGTTGATTCTCATTCTCCTGTGGATATTTCTTTTAAAGGTGGCCTTTGAATAACAACACCTTTTAACAATGGTTCTTCTTGATCATTTGGAGCAACTGATGCTCTTTCTCCTTGAGGTAACTCTTCTGCATGCAGTTCTTTAGCAATTACCACCTCATCTAATGTTGGTCTTTGAGAAGGATGTGAAGTAGTTGATTCTCCTTCTCTTGTGGATAGTTCTTCTTAAGGTGGCCTTTGAATAACAACACCTTTAACAGTGTTTCTTCTTGATCATTTGAAGCAACTCTTTTGCAGGCAGTTCTTTAGAAATTACCAGCTCATCTAATATTGGACCTTGAGAGGGATGTGGAGTAGCTGATTCTCATTATACTGTGGATAGTTCTTCTAAAGGTGGCCTTTAAATAACAATACCTTTTAGCAGCGGTTCTTCATCATCATTTGGATCAGTTGATGCCCCTTCTCCATGGGGTAACTCTTGTGCTGGCAGTCTGTATGCAATTACCACCTCATCTAATGTTGTTCTTTGAGAATTATGGAGTAGATGATTATCCTTTTCCTATGGATAGTTCTTCTAAAGTTGGCCTTTGAATAACAACCCAATTTAACAATGGATCTTCTCTAAAATTTGTAGCAGCTGATGTTCCTTCACCTTGGGGTAACTCCTCAGCAGGAAAATATATAGCAATTACCACCTCATCTAATATTGCTCCTGGACAAGGATGTGGAGTAGATGATTATCCTTTTCCTATTGATAGTTGTTCTAAGGGAGGCCATTGAATACAACACCTTTTATCACTGGTTTTTCTTGATGATTTGGAGCATCTAATGCTCTTTTTCCTTGGCGTACCTCTTCTGCAGATAGTTCTTTAGGAATCACCAACTCATCTAATGTTGCTCCTTGATAGATGTGGAATAATTGATTCTCTTTCTCCTGTGGATAGTTCTAAAGGTGGCCTTTGAATAACATACCTTCTAAAAGTGGTTCTTCTTGACGATTTGGAGCAGATGATGCTCCTTCTCCTTGGGGTAACCCTTCTGCAAGAAGTTCTTTAGCAATTACCACCTCATCTAATATTGGTCATTTAGAATGATGTAGAGTAGCTGATTCTCCTTTTCCTGTGGAAGTTCTTCTAAATGTGGCGTTTGAATAACAAAACCTTTTAATAGTGGTTCTTCTTGATCACTTGGAGCAGTTGATGCTCCTTCTCTTTGGGGCAACTCTTCTGCAAGGAGTTCTTTAGCAGTTACCAGCTATATAATGTTTCTCCTTGAGAATC